AGTTTAGTTTTACTACTTATTATAAGTTTATGTAAGAAAAACCACCTTTTAAGTAATTTTAAATCATAATCTATACTTTCTTTTAAGGAAAATGTAGTTTTTTCACTATAAGAAATAGAACAATCATCCGCGAATCCCGTGATTTTCCCCCTAAAGGGCTGAAAAAATAGTGAGTTTATGTAAATTAAAAAAAGCTGCGGTCCCAAGACGGAGCCTTGAGGCACCCCTATATTTAAATAAGCTCGATCACTGCAACATTTATCACTCTTTGTATTCTATTCTCCAGGCAAGATCCCAAGAATTTTAAAATATTTCCTCTAAAACCAGCAGCTTCTAATTTATCTAAAAGAATTTCATGGTGAATGGTGTCAAAAGCCTTTTTTATATCAATAAATAAAGCTGCAGTATTATTGCTATTATTTAAGCTGGAGTATAATTCTGAACAAAGTTTTAAAATCGCATCTTCAGTGGATTTACCCTCAGTAAAGCCAAACTGGTTATTATGAAAAAAGTTCGTTTTCGAAAGGAAACCAATCATTCTTTTTTTGATTAATTTCTCTAATAATTTACTAATGGAAGGTAATAAGGAAATAGGTCTGTAGTTTGATAGCATTATTTTTGAGCCTTTTTTATGAAGAGGGACAACTTCAGCACTTTTGAGCTGATAGAAATACACCTTTTAAAACACATTTATTAATTCGTCCATTAAAATATCATCAAAATCATTTAAAAAAGTAAGGCTTTCTGAGTGAGTATTATTGAACCTATATAGGCAGAAAATTATGAAATTAGTGCATTTATATGTACAGTTTATTTTAATTACGTCAGCTGTACTCAAGGAAATTGAAGAGCACGTACTAAGGAAATTTACTTTAGTGTACACAGCAACACCACCCGAAGCATAGGTGTTGTTACAATTACAATGCAAAAAGTAACCATCAATATTGTAATATTCCTACTCATTATCATAAATCCAGATTTCCGTTAAGACTATTGTTAACACCTAATTTAGCAATAATCATTTTTTTATAATTTTTTTTGGATCGATTTCGACAGTTCATTGTAACTTTACATTTTTTCTAATATTTTTTTAATACTGTTTAACTCAATTTAATAAATTTATATGATAAAAATCAGAATTTTAAATCTTTATTTAAATTATCTAATAGGTCATTTCAAATTAATGATGTGACCCGAGGACTTTCCCTCTCCTGAGTATTTTCAACTCAATATAACTTTTCAAAATTGAAAAGAATAAGAGAAAAAATACAAAGAGTGAGAAGGAAACGTTCACGGAATGAATTTATTTGCAGAATACTTTAGGAAAATTCCATTACCAACAACAAGTAAATTCCACAATTAAGTTTTTCAAAGTCGTAATAATTAATTGATAATAGCCAAGTTTTGCATAATTTTAAATATTTATGAGAAACAGTTCCATTTCTAATGTGAATTTTTTATAATGAGTTTTCGATCCAAATGGAATGCTAGCTAGATTAAGATTGTTTGTTCTAAGATTATAATAATTGTAACTTCGTATACGTAATGAAGTTCCAGATTTAAAAATTTTTTTAAAACATTTATAAGCATAGAGATGTCTAAGAGGGAGTACAAACGATTCCTGGAATAATGACTATATGTTCTAGTTTTATGGTAGATAATTTTCATAATGTATTTTTGAGCAATTACAATGGGTTCTATTGTGTTAAAATATGTTCCTCCCCAACCTAAAATCCCATATTGCAGTTTGGATTGGGCCATCGCATAGTAAAATTTAATTAATAAGCTTTTAGAACAAAACTTACTAAGTACATAGAATTTACGGATGCATAATAACAAATATTTATGAATATTATTAATGTGAAGTTTCCAGTTCAAATTGTTGTCTATAGTTATTCCTGAATATTTATAATTATCTACTGCTTCAATACCAAAGCAATTATCTTTTCAAAGATAACAATCGTTAATTGATGACATAAATGTAAGATCACATCTTTCGCATATGGAATCCTGGCAATCAGCAGCGTGAAACTGAAAATTTAAGTTTTCATTACGGGAATGCCTCAGTTGGAATATCATAAGTTTAGTTTTACTACTTATTATAAGTTTATGTAAGAAAAACCACCTTTTAAGTAATTTTAAATCATAATCTATACTTTCTTTTAAGGAAAATGTAGTTTTTTCACTATAAGAAATAGAACAATCATCCGCGAATCCCGTGATTTTCCCCCTAAAGGGCTGAAAAAATAGTGAGTTTATGTAAATTAAAAAAAGCTGCGGTCCCAAGACGGAGCCTTGAGGCACCCCTATATTTAAATAAGCTCGATCACTGCAACATTTATCACTCTTTGTATTCTATTCTCCAGGCAAGATCCCAAGAATTTTAAAATATTTCCTCTAAAACCAGCAGCTTCTAATTTATCTAAAAGAATTTCATGGTGAATGGTGTCAAAAGCCTTTTTTATATCAATAAATAAAGCTGCAGTATTATTGCTATTATTTAAGCTGGAGTATAATTCTGAACAAAGTTTTAAAATCGCATCTTCAGTGGATTTACCCTCAGTAAAGCCAAACTGGTTATTATGAAAAAAGTTCGTTTTCGAAAGGAAACCAATCATTCTTTTTTTGATTAATTTCTCTAATAATTTACTAATGGAAGGTAATAAGGAAATAGGTCTGTAGTTTGATAGCATTATTTTTGAGCCTTTTTTATGAAGAGGGACAACTTCAGCACTTTTGAGCTGATAGAAATACACCTTTTAAAACACATTTATTAATTCGTCCATTAAAATATCATCAAAATCATTTAAAAAAGTAAGGCTTTCTGAGTGAGTATTATTGAACCTATATAGGCAGAAAATTATGAAATTAGTGCATTTATATGTACAGTTTATTTTAATTACGTCAGCTGTACTCAAGGAAATTGAAGAGCACGTACTAAGGAAATTTACTTTAGTGTACACAGCAACACCACCCGAAGCATAGGTGTTGTTACAATTACAATGCAAAAAGTAACCATCAATATTGTAATATTCCTACTCATTATCATAAATCCAGATTTCCGTTAAGACTATTGTTAACACCTAATTTAGCAATAATCATTTTTTTATAATTTTTTTTGGATCGATTTCGACAGTTCATTGTAACTTTACATTTTTTCTAATATTTTTTTAATACTGTTTAACTCAATTTAATAAATTTATATGTAAGATTGTATGTGTATACATGTATGTAAATTTGTAATTTTCGAATTTCTTATTTTCTCTTGCATTTTTTTTTACTGTGTTATAAATTCTCTTAAACTTAATTTTACTGTTTTTTGAATTAACATTAGCAATGTCTTAAATTCTAAAATTTTCCATTCGCAAAAACACTGTCGAATCGATCGGACATAAAAATTGTTGGTATTAAATATAATTAGTTGTTGAATTTTAATTCATTTTTTTATTTATTTGTATATAAGTAATTTTCCGTGTCCTATTTGCAAAAAATTATTATAAGTTTAGAAACACCCTGGCTAAATTAAGCCAGAGTCAAAACATTGGAGGTTCTACCGAGATATTTTGTTAAAAAATAGTGTAAAATATTTGGAATTCAATTAGTAAAACATTAATATTCAAATAGTGGTCTGAAAACTTTTAAAACATTCATTTTCAAGTGGAACTATTAAAAATATTAAAAGTTATATATAAAAAAAAAAAAACTTTATAATATATGCGTATATGTATATAAATATAAGATAAGGTTAAAATGTGCTGTTAGAGTTTCGGTTACGCGGTTTACGGTTTACGCAGTCAATTTTGGAGGGCTTTATCAGTACACAAGGCCCGCTGTGAAACCAGGTGGAACATATTTAATTGAATTGCAAGTAATCGCGGCAGTATGCAGAAACTTATAAGTCGGTAACATTTTCAATTTATATATATGTACATTGAAGAGTTTGGAATTTGGTATTGAAAGAATATTTACATTTGTGATATCTTTGCTTAATTTGATGATGATTTTGATTTAATTTTATGAGAAATGTCGCATATCACAACAAAACATAATTTGGATTTTTTCAACTTCTATGCAAATTTAATACGTATATTTAGTTTATATTAAAAATCAACTACAATATTCCAAGCTTCAACATAGTAGCTATATTACTTATTTATCACATGCATTTACATTTTACACACATATTTTTTTTGAACATAATGAAATTTGTTAATATTTAACATATTGAAATATATACGCACCTACTTATAATATTTAAGGTGTTACATACATGCATACCACATAAATATACAGATATCTACTTATTGCATTTGAAATATTACGTACATACGACATAATTATACCTACCTAGTTATTAAAAGTTTTAATTTTTTTTGTGTTACGGAAATAAATGCTTGCAAGGGCCTGTGTATATCACGACATAGGGTTGCATGATATATTCCCAAATCATATTCGTTGTGGCAGCAATAACATTTCGTCGATTGGATTTATTTCACGCAATATTTTCGTTTATAGCAATTGTGAGATATATCAAGCAGTAATTATTTATCAAGTATGAAAATATCGAGATAATGAATATATCAAGCCATGGTTATGAGATATATCAAGCAATAAATATTTTTTGATGTTGTAGCAGCAATAACATTTCGTCGATTGGATTTATTTCACGCAACATTTTTGTTTATAGCAGTTAAAAGATATATCAAGCAATAATTATTTTTTTTTGATACATGACATAAGCAATTTTATTTTAGTTTTTTCTCTTTACATTATCGTCACACAAAATACCTACCTACCATATAAAGAAGATAAATAGAAATTGGGAATTTCTTTTTGAATTTTTTAATAAAGGTTTTGAGCAAAACTGAAATTGAATATTTTATTGATATATTCGAGACGTAATACTGTGCATTGGGTATCACTAAACATTGTAAAGAGAAATTTAATTTTTATTTTTTTTGAAATTTTCTTTTGTTATTGGATATTTAAATTTAAACGAAATGGCAGAAGCTGACATTGAGAAACTTAAGACTCAAAGGGCCAGTGCCAAATCCTCACTAACTCGCATTAAAAATATAGTGGAAAACAAAAAAGAATCGCTCAGTTTACCTGAGTTAGAATGTAGGCTTGGAATTCTAGAATCTTATTTTAAGCAACTACTTTCGTGTCAGACTAGCTACGAAACTTTAATGCCAAATGATAATACCAACATAACCTATCGTTCGGAATGTGAGGAGGTGTACATATCTGTCAAATCTTTACTCACTTCATTAATTTCTAATAAAAAACAAGACTTGGGTTCTCAATCTACTGAACTTAATCAATCTTTTATACTAAAATCAACTCAAGCAACCAATCTTCACAAAATTAAACTGCCTAGATTCGATGGAAAGTATTCTGAATACCCTAACTTCATCGGTATTTTTAATAAGAGCATACACAACAACGCAAACTATGAAATTATCGAGAAGTGTAATATTTTAGTGAGCTCATTGGATGGGATTGCCAAAAATGCTGTTCGTGAATTTCGAATTTCGAATGAAAATTATCCAAAAATTCTCAAACATTTAAATGATAGATTTAACAACAAAACGTTAATGTTTCAAGAACTAATTGGAGAATTATTTCAGTTGCCTAAAATAACGAGGGCCACTGCAACAAATCTTAGAAATATGGTTGACAGTTTTAACGCTATTTTAAGCTCGATGCTATCTATTGGTTCTGGTGAGAACATTGCGAATTCAATGATTATTTATGTCGTAATGAGTAAATTAGATGCTGAGTCACAAAATAAATGGGAAGAAACTGTCGATCTTTCAAATTTATTGAGTTGGCAGGATTGCTCTAAGGTTCTAAGTAAAAGATGCCAGTTCCTTAAGTGCAAAGAGGTCAAGCAATCTTCTTCGCTGTCCACTTCAAAATTTCGAAACAAATCGATTTCTCACAACTCGACAGCACTTTCGGTATCACAATCGGGAGCTCGAGATTCGTCGTCGTGTCCTATTTGCAATGATAATAGTCACACCATTTACAAATGCAAAAAAATTTCTGAATTACCCGTAATAACTCGCTTTGAAAAGGTAAAAAACTTAGCGCTTTGTATAAACTGTTTGAATAAAGGGCATTCGGTAAAAAGATGCAATTCTTCCAAGTGTAGAATTTGCTCCGCCCCACATCACACATGACTTCATCGTTTCGGTCCAAATAACACATCATCAGCAGCTAATGGATCTGTACAACAGTCTTCAACTTCATCTTTTGTAACTTTAAATCCTTCATCTCCGTCAAATGCACTAGTATCTTCAGTAAATAATGTACCCATTAGTCCAGTTGAAAACGTTAGTGTAATTTTTTGCAACGGCTGTAGTACATATTAAAAATAACCACGGTTTGTTTCAACCAGTTCGAGCTTTATTGGATTCTGGCTCACAGCTAAATTTCGTCACCGACCGATTGGCTAACCATCTTGGACTAAAGAAACAACGTATAAATACTGGCATTAGTGGAATTGCCAACACTAATGTAAAAATTAAATTTTCGACACAATCCATTATAAAATCTTGAATAAATGATTTCACTGCGCCTTTAGACATGTTTATCTTACCATCCATAGCTGGAATTATGCCCGATTCTCCTACAGTCATCAAGGATTGGAATATTCCTAGAAATATTGAATTGGCTGATCCACAATTTTTTATTCAACAAAATGTTGATATTTTGATCGGCGCTGAAGTATTTTTTAATATTATGTCCGTCGGTCAAATTAAATTGGGCCCTTATATGCCTTTATTGCAAAAAACACTCTTTGGTTGGATAGTTTCGGGTAAATATGCTTCCAATTCCAAATCAATCAATTGCAACTCACTGGTCGCTACCTTGGAAAATAATGATGTTAACACAGATGCTAATTTACACGAGTTGGTAAAAAACTTTTGGCAAATTGAGTCGGTCGAAACTAATTCAAACAAGCTAACTGAGGAAGAATTGTCATGTGAACGTTTTTTCAAATCTACTGTCCAAAGGTCATCTTCTGGTAAAATAATAGTTAAATTACCATTCAAACGTCATTTCTCTGAGCTTGGTTCATCTAGGCAAATTGCCGAAAAACGTTTTCTATCATTGGAAAGGCGATTAAACTCAAATTCCAATCTTAAGGAAGAATATTCGAAATTTTTGGAAGAGTATTTAAGGTTAGATCACATGGAACTTGTTTCCAAACATGATGAAAGGCTTCTATACTATCTTCCTCATCATTGTGTATTAAAACCACATTCATCTACAACTAAACTTCGTTTCGTATTTGATGGCAGTTATGCTACAACATCTGGGCTTTCATTAAATGATATCCTTATGATTGGTATTCCAGCTCAAGAAGACTTATATTCAATTCTACTCAGATTTCGATTTTACAAGTATGGCTTAAAAGCTGATATTTGCAAGATGTATAAGCAGTTTTTACTGGATGAAAGTAACGCATATTACCAATGTATACTCTGGCGAAATAACTCTTCAGAAGAAATTCAAACGTTCAAGCTTAAAACTGTTACTTATTGTACTTTTGCAGCTTCTTATTTAGCTACTAAATCTTTGGTTCATTTGGCAACTCTTAATGCAGAGATGTATCCAAAAGGAGCACAGAAAATACTGAAAGACATGTACGTAGATGATTTGATAAGTGGTGCAGATTCTTTTGAAGAAATGTCTAACATAAAAGGCGAAGTTGAAACTATATTAGCCTCAGCTAATATAGTTTCAACTTCGCCAACTAAATATAAAACTAAAAAAATGGTACTCAAGCAACAAGCGTTTCCTCGACAGTATTCCTGAATCCGAAAAACAAAATCTTCTAATTATAAATGGTTCATCAATTATAAAAACATTAGGAATATACTGGCAACCAGCGACAGATCAGTTTAGATTTTGCATTGATTCGCAACTTTTCCGACAAACCAAAATTACCAAACGTTCTGTGCTATCTGATTTATCAAGACTTTTTGATCCCATCGGCCTAATAAATCCTGTTGTCGTCAGATCAAAGATATTTCTGCAAAGACTTTGGCTTCTTAAATTGGACTGGGATGAGTCTATTCCAACAGAGTTGCACACCGAATGGGAAAATTTCCGAAGGGGGTTGCATCTTCTCGACCAACTATCAATACCTCGTTTTGTTAAGTACAACAAATCCGCACAAGTCGAATTACACGGTTTTTGCGATGCAAGCTCCAAGGTATATGGGTGTTGTATATATCTTAGATGTATTGATCCTGATGGTACAATGCATGTAAATTTGTTAACTGCTAAGTCAAAAATTGCTCCAATAAAGACTCAATCGATTCCTCGTCTCGAGCTGTGTGCTACACTTCTTTTGTCTAATTTAATAAAAATATCAAATAATAGGCGTAAATCAAAGTAAATCAAATATTAGGCGTTGAAATCAATGAAATATTTTTATGGTCTGATTCTGAGATTGCGTTGTCATGGATTTCAGCACATCCTTCTACATGGACTGTTTTTTTTGCTAATAGAGTCTCGCAAATCCAACAATTAATAGAAAATTATAAATGGTTGCATGTCAACGCTAAGGCGAATGCAGCTGACATTTTGTCAAGGGGTTCAAACGTATCAGAATTAATAAATTCAACTTGGTTCATTGGTCCAGACTTTCTGAGGAAAACCAACGATTATTGGCCTATGCAAAAGGTTAAAAGTGTTCAATCTATAACTTTAGAAAAGCGAGCAACTCTCACAAGTCAAAAGTGTGACACAACTCATTCACAAGTCAAAAGTGTGATAATTATCTTATTATTATGCTACACTACAGTTCAATATGATTTTAAAAATTTACGCTAACTAGTCAACCTACTCATCATACATACATACATCAATTTATGCTATGAACACAACTTTTATATTTTTATATGCTACACTACAGTTCAATATGATTTTAAAAATTTACGCTAACTAGTCAACCTACTCATCATACATACATACATCAATTTATGCTATGAACACAACTTTTATATTTTTAACGCAATTCAAATAGTATTCATATAATTCAAAAAATATTCATATAATTCTTACTCTTGCTTTTCTTCGGATTTATTTATTTTCAAAACCACAAAATTTTATTCACTCTATTTTTATTTTTCTTATTGTTCTTTTTAATATTGTTATAATTGAATTAATACGCCACAGTCGAACTTCATATCATTTTATTCTTATATAAATATATCCCACTTATTATTTATTCACCTAAATATCATTCTATTGTTATATTAATATATACAATAGGTTGAGTTCATGTTTACAGATCTTACTTAGATCTGCAAATGCCGTGCGTTTTTGTGACAACACTGTCACAACATATCGTTTTTGTAAAAAGTACTTTGAAAGATCTGCTGTCATATAGTCAGCGTGAAAATTTATGCTGTCAATAGTAGAAAATAACATAACCTAAAATTTTAACTAAAAAGTGGTAAAAGCTGTAAAATTAAAAATTGATTCGGAATCAATGTAAGTTGGAATTTTAATTTTTATTGAATAAATTTTAAATGGATTTTATTTAGCTTTGAAGCAGAAGAAAATGCAAACCTAAATGGAAAAACATGGGCTATTTCTGATATTAAACTATTAATAACAAAAAGGTTGGAATTAGAAAACGATTTTGTTACTGGAAAAAAAAATAAAAGTGTGCTTTGGGGCATAATATTGAGGAACATCAAGGAAACACGCCCAGACTTTGAGTTTTCCCGTGAGCAAATTATGAAGAAGTACAGCAATTTACTTGCAACTTCCCACAAAATCAAAAAAAGGAACAAAAAGACAGGCCAAAGTGCAACCTTATGGATTTTTTATGATATGTTCAATGAAGTATACGGAATATCATATACAATTGAACCGCCTCCAAATACTCTAATACAAACTCTTAACTCTGGAGAAGATGATGTAAATGATGAAGAATCCGAAAGTATCAGTACACCTAAAAGACCAAAAAGGAACGATGTTTATGAGTTAATAAAAGCTGAAAATAAAATAACGGAACAGCGACACCAAGACTTATTAGAAATAGAAAAAACCAACATTGAACTAGAAAGAGCAAAGGTATAAAAAAATTAATTTATATTTATATTGATGTATGTATATGTTGTAATTTCAGTTCCAAACTTTATTGGATTTAAAAGACATTTTAAAAAAATGTTTGACTGAAAAATAAAAACATAATGAAAAACGTTTTTATAAAAACAAAAGTACAATAATGGAGACTGTTATATCGTAGATTTTCAGTATTGAAGACTGATATTTTTCCATATTTTTAAATTAATTTGTGAAATGTACAAATGAAACTGTACTCTTGTTTATTTTGTTTTGTGAGACCATAAATGGTCGTTGAAGTTTTGTTACAAATAAAGTGCTATATTATAATCTAAATTAAAAATCAAAGACTTCATTTATTTACATATTATTAAAGGAATTTTTATAATACAAAAATATACATAACTATACACAATGTATACCCATATCTATTAAGATATCCAGTAATTTCAATTACTCTCATGAAAAGATGAAAATTTCATACATAATATACATATGTATGTATATCTATACATCCGTATAAATTACACGAATTAAGTTAATGCATTTTGTAAAGTACAAAAAAAATGTATTTTTGTGTATACATGAAGTAATGGCAATATGTACTTCTCAATATATACCTCTCAAATTTTCAAATTTTTGGATTGTTGAATTGATTTCGTTTCTAAAAGGCCATTGTATAAATACATTTTTCTTTTTGCAAATTAATTTGCACGGTTTATAAACAATATTATATGCATACCCTTTGGAAATACCAAACCAATCCGCAATTTGCCTGTAGGACTCCTGATTAACCAATTTCCATATTGTTATTTTTAAAGCTTTGTTTAACGAGATTTTTGTTCCAGGTAAACAATGGTTTTCATTGAACAGGTCAACCAATTTCTAAAATTAAATTTAAATGTTCTTAAAGCTTCACGGTATGTACATACAAAAGCATCCTAATGTTTAATGTTTAAAAAATATCTAAATCTAAAATCATCTAAAATGTTTAAAAAATATATCCACTGGATACAAATTTACTACATCAAAGTAATTTTCTTATCCGTCTCGATTTCCTAGGTTAGTTTGGTTATGGCACAGTTTCAAACACTAGTTGTCAATTGTCATATGTTATACAGTGCTGTCAACTGTTTAAATTGAACCGCTATAAATTGAACTTACTCCGTCTCCATTTTAGATTCTTCGTTATGTTTAATGGTGTTCTTAAATTAAATCTAAATACCCCATCTTGAATGATTCCTGTATGAGTTTACAAATAGCATACATAATTTGGAACGTTTAAATCATTTCTTAAGTGTGAATTAGTTAGTTTTTTTTTAGACCTTTCAGTTTATTTTTTTTGACCGGTACATCTCCATTCTTCTTCTTATTAATGTTTTCTAATTTATATTTCTATAATCGAAGCAAAACATGAAGAGTGGTAACTTTTTTACATTTTACTTATGTGACAAATTAAGTATTTTACCTTTCTTAATTTATCACATCTACGCATCCACTTTACGGGTACTTCTAGAAGGGCTAGAGACATGGGACAAAAGGCATTAGATAGGGTTTTGCCTCCAGGGTCCCAGAAAAATCTGACATATGAACTTTCTAGCCCCGAAATAGCTCTATTTTAAGATTTTCTGAAAAAATTTTTGTATAACAAAAGCACCTTTTTCTTTTATATTTCATATTACAAATAAAATAATACTTTTTATTATTAGAAACACAAACCGAGAACGAGAAATAAATAATTCGAAAATATAATGATCTCACATATATTTTAAGTTCGAAAAATCGAAATAAACTTAAATAAATGTCAGGTTTTGTAAAAGACATCAGATGTTTTGTGGCAACTCAATATTAATGCTTCATTTGTTATTGTTTTGAATATTATGTTTCGTCAGCAAGCTTTAAAAAATATACATACACAATTTATGTACGTATGTATCTACCTAAAATATTATGTTTATTGTTCGAGCGAAAAACTGTAAAATGCTAAATTCTAATCCATTCATATGTACATACACATATTTGAATAAAATTATTATTTTGTTTTTGCCTAAACCTTTTCTTTATTTAAAAAATTTAATCCTATATGTTCACCCACAGTTTTAAAAAAACAGGTATCCATTCATAATTATGTATGTTTATATTTATAATTTTATTTCTAATTGTTCCAACAGAAAATTTCAAAATTTTCAATTCTAATACATTCATACATTCATATGTACATACGTTCTATAATTTTATTTCTAATTGTTCAAACAGAAAATTTCAAAATTTTCAATTCTAACACATTCATACATTCATATGTACATACGTTCATATGTTGGAACGAAAAATTTTAAAATCTTCAATTCTAAAGCATTCATATATACATACATATGTATAGGTGAATAAAATTATTATTTTGTTTTTGACCAAAGCTTTTCTTGATTTGAAAAATTAACTTTTGTATGTATTTTTTTTATGATTTAATAATTATGCGTTTAAAATTTATTTCTATATAGCAAACCACAGTTTTGCATGTTATACAATTCATATAGAAAGCTTAAAAAAGTTACTCAGGAAGCTTTAAAAAAAATATACATACATACATATATATTTATGTACTTAAAATTTTTGTGAATTTTTCCAATCTATTATAACAATATTTTTTTGGAAATTTTTTTTAAACTTTTATAATAATATTTATCTGTTATATATTAAAAAAATATAAAACAAAAAATTTAAACAACATAAAAAAAAATTTTTTTAAAATAATCCAAAAAAAGAAAAATGCGACAACATCCCAGGCAACCATGGATCCAATAACCTTCAGGCTATCAGACTACCACGCTAGCCACTAGGCTACGCAGAACCTTGAATTTCCCTTTATAATTCTATATTTTATTCATATTTCGTATAACTCTTCAAAAACCATTCTATTTTACATTATTATTATATATATATAGCTACTTCTCAGTTGTCAAAAAGTACGGGTACTTCTAGAAGGGCTAGAGACAAGGGACAAAAAGCATTACATACGGTTTTGCCTCTAGAGTCTAGAAAAAGCAAAAATTCCACCCGTCCTCCACCTTCACCCCTTCCCAAGGTGCTTTGTAACCGTTTTTTTACAAAATGGTTCTACATCCTCTAGGGGTAATTTTATATTTACTTTTGGTGGTATAAATATTGAATGTAAATTCATATTTGGAAGTGTGAGTTATAACAAAAAGTGATCACTTTTTAAGAAAATTGTAATGTTTTGATAAAATCTACATTGTTTTATAATAAGTATGTACGCACGCATTTAGTTATGTACTCTTTTCGCGATCTGTTGAAAAATGTTTTAGTAAGCAAAACATAAGTGTACATTAAACTTCTTGACAATATATTTTTAGGGCAAAATTTTATAAGAAAATGTTATTCTATTGCATTAAACTTTTTACAAATATTGATTTGTAAAGGTGAAGTTTTTTTAATTTCATTTCAAAAAAATAAAAATATCAATAAAAAAAGTTCATCTGGGAAATAGCATTTTTCAGGGTTGGAACCTGGGACTTTTTACATAGAAATTGTATTCTATATGCATTACCCTATATAATAGTATATACGTTAGAATTGGTGTTAACTCATTCTACAGTCACGCGTTTTATTCGCATGTATAATAAACTCCAAATACATACATGAATGAATTTTAGTAGCGAATTATTTTAGTAATTTATAGCTTAAAGTGCTTATTGTAAAAGGTATTTTACGATTTTATGCGACATAACTCAAAGCGAGGTTCCAAAATAAATTACTCAAAAGGTATGAGATCTCAAACGAACTAATTATTTGTTTAATTATGTATTTTTTGGTAATTATTTTTCAGAACTTTTTTTATTTTATGTTTTATCTTATTATTTATTAGAAAAAAACATATCTATATGTATATTACGGCTGTGTTTTTGAAGAAATAAAGAAAACTTAAAATATCTCAGCCACAGAATAGAACACAATTTCAAAACTACAGGCATAATACTTGCAAGGCTTGCAATGCAAGCATACACGACTAGTTTATATAAGTTCAGATTTAGTATCAGAAATATTGTATAAGGAGGCACACGAAAAAGGAGGCAATTTTCAAATTTTTGAAAAAATGTGCTTATTAGTTTCACTTTGTCCGTCCATCCGTCTGTGGGCATGTTTACAAAATTTCTACACCTTTGAAGATAGAAAGCTGATATTTAATATGTTCATAGATCTTTACTAGAAACTTATTTCCGTAGAACAAAATTTTTATATATCTCTCCCCCTTTAAGAGCTATATTATCAATATAAATATATTTTGAACAAGTCAGGACCCACAATTGTCTCCTGAGGCACCCCCTTTTCCATGTACCGTACTCTGTGCAAATATTTTGCCCCTTATTGTGCAAATAAGATCTGAACAAATTCAATTGAACCCCACTAAATTGTAATTGGGACAACTGAAAAAGAAGCGCATCATGATCAACGCAATCAAATGCCTTCTGCAAGTCAATGAATAGACAAGCAGTACATTTTTTACTATTCATGCTTTTTGTAACGAAGTCAGTCAAGCATGAGGCCTTTGCGTTTGAGTTTTCTTGAAAGCTATCTGAATAATCTGAATAAAAAGAAAGTTATATTTAATGTTACAAGACGTAATGTTAAATGTAATATGCTATATATATTTAAAATTTTTCTAACTCATGACAGCTAAAATTATTTAGAGCGAATATTTCTGTACCTGGAATTTTTTAAATGTAGTTGGCTTTTTTATTAACTTAAAAAAGGTAGTAATATTATCTTTCATTTGCATCGAGACCAAGTTTCGAAGTAAATTTGGGTAAAGACATTGGTAAAAAATTTAAGGAATCTCTAAAAGTAATTTTTCAAATTTTATTACCTCCCATTATTGGAACTATTGATTTATTTCGCTTTAAAAGTTCTGTTATGATAAATTGACTATCATGATTTTTAAAATTGTGTGCAATGCATCATATTTTAACAGTAGAATCAGCAGTAATTTTCAATAGAAAATCTACAAATTTAGTTATACAATTTTCTTGAGTACTATTTTCAAAAGTATGTGTTTGTTTTTCACATTTTACACATTGAAAACTACTGTTGCTTTCTTGATAAATTTGCTTCGTGTAAAATATCGGAATTTATTTTCGTTTATTGAGTAGT